AACCAACCATGATCAAATGCTATACTTGCTCAAGGCTGACTATTTCAAATAAGTGCTCTGTTGCTCCCCGCATTTTCAAGAAACAAGGGCCCAGTCTCTTAAAGAAACCGACGGCTGCACCGATCTATCTTTTACTGTAGTTCTACAGTATTGCAGTTTGTGTACTCGGAAATATCAAGTCGAAAGAAAGGATTCAAAAATTAAGAAAAGAAAGTTGAAAGAAACTGATAGATATTTTGTCGAACTTTTCCACCTATATCTGCCAGAGTTATTTCAAAAAAATAGTTTACGATCAATCAATCCCTCGGCAAGTTTTATAACAAAAGAAAAAAATTTGCTTCTAACAAAATGGCAGCAATTTTCCTCACATCCAATTTAATTAACACACGCCAAATGTCTGTCATGAGAAAAATGTTTTTTGTTTTTTTTTATTTCCCTTATGCTATGTCTTATGGCTTTGATAATTTTTGGCTTCATGACAATGTTTGCTCTCTTCTTATACGTTTTTAAGAAACGTTAATAGAAATTCTTTTTTGGTTTTTTGCACTATTTTTAGTTTGAAAGAATTTTTTCTATTTGACTTTTAAACTGAATTTTCCTTCAAACCAATTTTTTCGTTTATTTCTTTATTTTTTTTTTTTTTTATTATTATACCAGATGTAAAGAAACGCACATGTATATGTATAATAAACTTATAAAGTATTTTATATATACATGTACTTACTTACTTACTTAATCTTATTGAGACAACGGAAAGTGTCGCCAAATTTTAAATTGATTTACTAATGTCTGTCTGTTCGTTCGGATTTTCATTTCTCTTTGCATTATTCTTTTCTTAAGCGATCTAAGGTCAGTTAGGTCCTTCTAAATGTAATTAACAGCCAACAGATACATAAATTTTTTTATTATGTTATTCTGTCTAAGACCATGCAAGAGATTAGAAAAGAGCATGTGATTGAAAGAGGCTAGCAAAAAGAAGAAGATGATGCAGAGACAGAGAGAGAGAGAGATAGAGAGAGTGGAATGAAGAAATCAATACACTTTCGCCTATGGAATATCAATTTACATGGCATATTTTTCGTAACCATTAGGCCTTGAAATGCCTCAATCGCTTCTCTAATAAAACATTATTTACGGAAGTCGTATATATTAAAATTAATTTGGCGTTGTAAAGTTTCGAAATATCTTGTTTGTACTAATATATGGAAATTTTTTCATGGTGAAAGACAATGATTGGATAAAGCGCAATGCTTTTTCTTATTTTTTTCATGACTTCTAAATAGTTGATTCGCAGGCAGCAAAAGTTTTGATAGCATAAAACATCTATTTTTTCCGAAAACAAAAAACCGTTGCAGCTAATTTGTTTTCTCAACTGCGGTCGAGCGCCAAATTTCTAAGAGTTTGACGTTGATAAAATAATAAATTTTCCTCGCTCGGAAATGGAATTTGCTTTACGCAAAGTCTTTGCTTGATTTTGTTCACTAAAATATGATGTAAGCGTCCAGTCGATAGCATTTTCGGAAGCCAATTAAACAAGGGAACAAATAAAGCAGGTGAAACACAAATCAGACAGCGCTGGAACTCTGGGAACCTTTACATAAAGTTACGGCAAAATCTGAAAAAACGCGTAGATTTGCTTATGCTTTTTTCAACTTTTTAGGATCGAAATCCATGCTTATACTAATTTTATTCAATACGCGTACCAAATTCAAAGAAGGAAAAACACCATGGCGGCCCACCATTGAATATCGTACGCAATCGTACAACCTACTTCGGAAAAATTTCCGATGTCCGAACCGAACCATTTCAACAGCGTTCAGCCTTGATCAGAAGCACATGATTGCACCAAATTTCATCAAAGTACTTCAAAAATTGCGGACTGTTGGCTGATTACAAGAGTACGTAATAGCCAGACGGACAAGCAATCTTAGGTCAAGACAAAAAGTGATTCATAATCAATCATTATAACAAAAGGTGAGTCCATCTCAAATCCTTTTGAGCGTTGCAAGCATACCACAAGTGGGGTCATTTACGAAAATGTAAAGGAAACATTGTAACGGGCGTGAAAATTGTTGGCAAACTATTTTAATAATTGTTATGAACTTTATATGCCTTTAAAATTTAGTTTATTATAGCGAAAACTTTTTATCGTTTCTCTTAATTTCAAGGCTTTTTTCTGTATGACTTATCTTCTTACCCCCCTTGGGTAAGATAAAAAGATTCAATAAATTTTGTAGCTTTTCTCATCAATATTCACAAACATTTTTCTTACATTTTAAATCAAATCTATTGAACCGAATATTAGCAAATAAATAACATTTTGGTCGATAAGCTTTCGCCATTTTTCTGTTATTATCATTGCGCCGTCCCTATGCAGAATTTTCGCACTGAAACACACAGTTTTCATAGGTCACTTTCCAACCCAGCCTTACTCTATTAGTATATTTCTGCAAAGAGCGATAAAAAGGCGAGTTCGACGGGCAAGGTTAAGTCTACACAGAGTATTCAGAACAGTTTCCCAGCGAAAATCTGTCAATTTTTGCCGAATCATTAGAAACGTCTTTCCTAATGATCAGTTTTGAACCCTTTAACAAAAATAGACGCTTTAGTCGCATTAATTATTGACAGCAAAGATTCCCTCTTTCAATCGCTTAGTAAGTTTCCTGTTACTTACGATGCGAGATTCTTTTCCAATCCAACTAATCAGAAATTGTTATTTTAGGTGGTATCAATCCACACTTCTACTTTTCACCGTCCATTACCAATCCCGTTAAACAAAATTGACTTCCTTATCGTTTAGTAATAGTAACTTTTTTAGCAAAATGTTGGACTTTCA